GAATGGTACCTGGAGGATGTAGGTCTTGCCTTCGAAGCCAGTCGAAAGGCCAACTTTCCCCATGTACTCCTCATCGTTCATGAATACTTCCATGCCCTTCCATACACCACGTCCAGTAGCAGCGGTACGTCCATGGATACCTTAAGAGGAATGTTCTGCGAGTCGATCAAATTTCGTTCAGATCAATCGAATAGGAAGCACTGATCGCTATGGACAAGCCAAATTCCATAGAAAAGTCGATTTGGAGTTCGAAAATGTCTGACAGGTGAGTGAATCTACACGAAATCAGTTGGATTCTAGAGTGCGTTCCAGCTAATGTAAGGTACTTCTAGCCTGTTGTTTGCCTCGATCTTATTCAGTGTTACTTAAAATGTTCGTTCGTCTGTAGATTGTTCGTTTTTCTTCTGTATGGAACGAAAGTCCTTCAGAGTGTATCAATCAGATTGCTGGACACCTACCACCAGCAACGATTGGTTTTCCAGTAACGCAAGCGGCCGCATCATTCTCATTGTGTCCGATTGTTTGCGCATAAGTATCAGCAATCCAACTCATTTCACGTTCACCAGTTCCCATGTCAGGTGCTGGCACATCAATGCCGGGTCCTAAGAAGCCTTTCTTGGCAAACTCGATGGCAATACGACGAGTGATCTTCTCGATTTCGTACTCGGAATATTTCTTGGGGTCGATCTTTACACCACCTGAAACACTAAGCTGATGCAAGGAATCACTTCGTTGACATGGATGCTTAACGTGATCAGATTTTCAAGTGAAGAATTTAGTGATATGCTGCGAAAATTTTCAATTGGTACGAACGAATTGAATTTTGCTGATGTGATGATGCTTTGATGAGGCATTCTTGCGATGAATCTGGTGAAATTTTCACTGAATAGTCGGGAAACGACAAGAAACCAAACAAACCTTTCGCACCACCGAATGGCACATCAGTAACCGCGCATTTATAGGTCATCAGAGCGGACAAGGCTTTCACCTCATCCTCGTTGACGTTCAACGCGTAACGGATACCGCCCTTCACGGGTGTTCGGTGCTCACTGTGTTGAGCTCTCCACGCTTCGATTTGCTCGTATTCACCATTTTCACGACGAATTGGGAAGGTGATGTGGAAAATCTGAACAAATCATGCCGTAAATCAATTGCTTAATTGCCACTAATTATTTTTCGAATCTTTTTGTACCATGGACAATGCAGCAATCCATCGTCCTCGGAAAGAGACGAGGGATTGCCGCAATCTGATATTCAGCTTAAGAAAAATGCTGGTCTCTTTTGTGTGGTGACATAGGACTCGAAATGATCAGAGATACAATTAGCTTAGGAAAGTTGTTTTCTTGTAAGATGGATTTTGAGTTGGTGGTCGATTGATGCATTCATTTTCTTTGAGATACATTAAAGCAAAATGGTTGGAAAAATTCATCGAGCTGAAGATGAATTGAGGAAATTGCAGTGATTAAGTGGGAATTATGGTTGTTAAAATAGTAAAAACACAACAAATCTTCATTGTGTTTAAACATTTGTTCATGAGCGCCAGACACTTTTTTTTGGCTATTTCAAAGGAGCAATGAATGATGAGGTTGAGTGTGTCAATATTTTGATTGCGAACCTTGTTAACCGGTTTGATAGCAGCGAGAATACCGCGGACAAGATTCTTCTTGTCGTTTTTGGTCATGGAATGCGATTGAAGTTCATCAACGAGCTTAGGCTCGATAACTTTTGAGCCTTTGTCCACATAGTATTCAACACTCTGAAGTGATAAATATCGATAGAATGAGACTGAATCTTCATATGTTTTGAAGCGATTCTCAAATTTATTCGCAGGGTTTTTGACGATTTTCATATCAGAGTTTTCGGAGGGTTTTCTTCGTTCTGAAATTTCACACCTTCGTTCTAGATTTTCCTAGGTATCCGGATGAGCCGAGAGAGAACTCCTTCAAGTAAGTAAGTGAGAAAACTTTCAGGTTCTCATCATTATCGTGAACCATCTTAAACGAAGAATTTCCCAGCTAATATTGCCTTTAATATGGCTACAGTGTCACTGTTGCTTTACAAATGAACCAATATGGATGCAATATAATGAATGATACTGAATGAACCAAATTGTATTGCTTCTTGTCAAAATATGAGACAGTGAACGCTAGTTGAGAATATGAAAATATTTTTTTTCGAAAAAGTCACATAAATGATTTTATTTTTCTGCATTCAGCCGAACAGAACTCAAATCCTATTCAGTTTTCAACTGGTCATCCATTATTGGTTCTTGTATGGAATACATTATTCCACAAAATCGGGAATTGAGGTGCACGGAAAGGGAATAAGACTCACCTTAAAGAATGAAGGATTCAGTTGCTCGTCCATCGGCAACTTGGAATCGTCGAGTTGTTGTTGAGCGTCGAGAGTCGGCGCCGAAGCGAAACATCTCGCGCCGATGATACGCGTACTGCCGCGGGTTATTGCCGACAGCATAGTTGAGCAATACCTCAGATTGAAGATCTGTAACAGCAATAAATCAACAAATAACCAACGAATCAAGCAGATAATAGATGAAGCTCTCGAAGGCACGTATTCACAAGCGCCACTGAATGATCGCACTCAGTGCAGCTTCTGTGTTCGCCTTTAAGTACCACCTCTCTGAAGGTGGTCAACATCGAGGTGCTTTGATACTCTATTGCCTTGTTTAACTATCTGCTTAATTCAGTTAACAATCACTTAACAATATCTATTTATCGAGCCGTTCCGTCGTCTCCGCAGTTATTATCGAAGCAATTTGGTTGCTTTTTGCGCCCCGCCTAGTGATTTTTCATCAACAAAATTGTGCTGTTCGGTGCAAGTTTTCGTTCGTGCGATTGTTCCATTCATATCGAGCAAAGCAGAAATATTCACTGCTCTACGTGATATTCCATTCGAAATCGTGACAATCGTCGATGATTCAGTATGTCAGCGCCCAATGTTGAATGCCCTTTTCTCGCTGGCATCACTATCATCATCATCACCATCATGCATTTGTTAGTGTTCAATAGCCATCAAATCATTTCTTCATCAGAGAACATTTTGAGTTCGAGAGTCAGCTGAGTACGGGATAGCAGACTGCAAAAAAAGCATATCCCAGTATAAGCTTAGATAAGGTCGATTTTTTGATCTCTTCTGCTCTTTGATCATCATCAAATTCATGATTGGCTCCAATCAATCAAATGGAATTCAATGTGGGAATACTAATGGCTGGAGGTTCTCAAATAAAGTTGCAAATTTTGCAGAGTGAATCTACCAAATGACTGCTCTCGATAAAGGCCTTGAATATTTGCAAATAATTCATGCCATGGAGAAAAGGAAACATATTTCTACTTCCTTATATGAGAACGGGAAATACACTTGCTGCCACATTTAAAATGTTTTCGTTTCTGAGTGAATGAAATCATTTTTGACAGATCGTGAAGCAATTGACACGTGTAACCGTTTATTACCAAGTCGAATGAACAAATTAGGCTTGTAAAAGTCATACTGAATTATTTCACAGGGAAAATGAATGGAACAGTAGCCAATTGAGTACCAAAGCGTAGTATCATGCTCATCAAAGTTTTTTCATCTCAACATGCAATACTGACTGTTTGATCACTGGTGGAACGTAAAATCTCAATTGTATCATTTGCTGGAACGATACTTGAAACGCTTTGAATGATCAGAATCTCATATATCAGCTTCCCATTGCATCAGATCACTATCGATGTCCGAACAATATTTATGATTTATTACATGGATTGAATTTCATGAAGCAATTAAACAACACCTCATGATCTCTTTGAAATATTTGTGGTTTTTCTCAGTCAGTCCATTTTGAACTGAATACTATTGAGGTGATCGGTGAAAGCTTAGAATTCGAGTTCAGTCACAGTGTTAACGATCCCAGTCTAAAATTCCATTCACTTTCAGTAGTATCCTTAAGCATGTATTGATGATTGATGTTTCGATGTCCATTCAGTACTTTCACTAACAGTTTTGTCTCCACGTAAAAGTCCGTTTGAAAAGCATCGAAATTTCATAATCCACTACCAGTAGAGAAAGTAGAGTTTTTAACGTTATGATCACACATGTATCCATGAATTTTTTGCTGATTTTAACAACTCACCAAAAGCACTTTAATGATTTCAACAACTGATATCGATGAGAGTGCACTTTTGATAGATTCGTTTCTTTTTTTTTTTCGTTTCATGTGGAAGAAAAAAAATTCATTTGAGCGCAATGTTGGTTCGAAAGCGAGAGTTTATTACCATGTAGAATATTTCACCTTTACCTTCAATTGATAACGAAGCAGAAAAATTTGTTTGTTCAGAGCATCCATTCGCTTTCGGTGCTTCCAACTTCCTTGGACCTTGGATTTGCATCATATCGCTCGCGACATCCATCTGAGTAACTTAAACCTATCGTTCAGAAATTGCAGTCGGAAAATGCCTCAGAACTTAAATTCTGTGGTTGAAGGCGAAATTGGATGATGCGAACAAATCAATGAAAACAGAAAAAAATAGATGTTCTGTGCAATGCTCAATGATAATGATCAAAATGGTCTATTAGTTGGATTGCACCAGTGAATGATAAAAATAACGCTAATAGAATTATTTAGCCGTGATAAAGCTATTGTACGCAGCCATCAATCTTGTTGATGAAATGAATTCGTTGAATGGCTTTTAATCTTCAACGTATTACAAATCAAATCAGCACAATGCAGACTAAGTGCACAGCAGCAGTGTTGTTGTGTCTTTCTGTCGACGCTTCTTCAGACACCCTTTTCGACTGAAGCAACAAAACTTGTTGACAGTTATTGTGGCGTGATTTTGAACTGTGATGTTGCTGCTATATCGAGCAGTCGAGCATTCATCTAGTGCAGCTTCGTTCGTAACTAATGATAAGCTGTTATGAGCTGCTGATCGAAACTGATCGGAAAATTTTCAAAATGGCAGAAGAACGAGAAGTTTTTGTTAGACTATCAACGCTTTCCACATTGGTGATCGAATTTATTCTTTGATGGTGTTTGCATCACTGAAATTTAAGTTTTTGTTTTGTCGCAGAGTAATTCGGGAATTTTATCATGAATGGGATCGATTCAACTGATACAAGTGAACATATATGTTTATAAATCATTGAAGCACTTTCATAAGTCAATGAATAGCGATGCAACAAACTTCGCTATTACAACCAAAATTTTTGCTTATTGTGAGAAAAATACTTCGAGAGTGGTGAGCAATTTTTAAATACGGTTTAATGATGAAATATGATTAGTGGATTTAGTGAGTGAATTAAACAAATGAGAAAAAAATTTCTATTGCATGATATTGCAGTTTAGTTTTCAATTGTTATACCAATCTATTTACTGTACCGAAATCAAAATCGTAGCAGGCAAACAGCTGATGATGGTGATAATTTGTAGTTGATCATAAAGTGGCGTGATTTTTTAATGATAATGATGTGAAAACAAAAGTACACACAGCTCTAATCGACTGATTGTTTGTTTGATAGGAATATGAATACGAGTGAAACTGCGACATTCTTATCGCTTTAATCCTATTATACGCTTGAAACAATTTTTCCTTCAGTGCGTAACGTTTTGCTTTCACTTTTACAATAATCAAGATTAGAATTTTTTTGCAGAATATCATCTCATTTTTCATCTGAAATGAAAGCAATTATGAACAAACAGTTTCATTGAAATAACACTTCATTGAAAGGGCTGAAAAACACTTCGACTGTTGACTGAATCTATCTTACAGTACATTTGCTGAAACAAATAAGCTAGTAATACATCTAATAGTAAGTAAATATTTTCGCAACAAAACTCTCGGATGTCAACATTGGTTGCTTTCACTTTTAATGTGCAAAAGAAGAAAATGTTTTTCGCACATTTCATGTTTTCATTGCTTTAGTTGATTGTTCTAGATAATTTATCATTGCATTCAACAATCGAAAGAAATACGAGGAATGATCAGTGAGCAATTATAGTGC